TTATTCGTACAAAGTAAAACAATCAATTTTTTACACAATTTTCTGCCTTGTTTGGAACACTCGTTGCATTTTTGTGAACGACAGCATGCACTTTGTCCAAAGCGAAAGTATGTTTGACTCAGCATACAAAACGTTTGCACAAAATCATAAAAAAAAAAAACAGTTAGCAGTCAAGTAAGCATGCTCGAGCATGCTATATTTTTGTTCAACGACTTGAAAGGTTTCCGAGAATACTTTGGCGGCGCGGTGGTACATCCCACTTGCGCACCCATCATCTCCTGCACTCTCCCTCTCTCCCTCCCCCTCCCTCGCACACCCACACACACTACCACGGCGCCAAGGCCGGACGGTGGAGGCGCTCTCACGGAGCGCAATAAAGATACGCTGCACCAGATGGCTACGGTCCCGCCGCGCTGCTGGCCGCACCCGCAGCTGCAACACTGACATAGCGTCATGAGATGAGCTCCTCAATCCTCATCCTCCTGTACTCTTTCCCGAGCCGCAACTCGTCCAAGTCACCCTCACCCTTTTACAAAAGAAAAATAAAATAAAACGATAAATGACACCACGACCAGCACCACGACACACGCGAAAACATTGTGAAAAAGGGCGGCACTCATAACAGCAACGGGGGGGAAACGAATAGAACGCGATAACCACCACGGCAAATAAATACACGGGTGACCTCTCTCGTGTTTTTGCACATGACATAAAGGCAACAAACGAACGACCACCTCACCTCCTCCTCCTCCTCCTCCCCGCAGTCCCCGGACAGTGCCGGGCGCGGGCATGGTTCGGGGGAGAGATGGCTCGCGGAAAGGGGAAGGGAGGATGGGCAGAGCATAGGTAATGTATCGATTTGGATTTGAAACGGTCATCAGCGCGCGCGGAAAGCGTCGGCGCAGGGCATCCCGTGTCAATCGATGTGCTCCGCCCCGCCCAGCCACGCCCGACACGTCACGTGCCCCCGTCTGACGTCACGGATCGCGTGTCAGCAGCGCGCGTATCGATGCGGCTCTGCTGGAGTGGACCACACGGTGCGCCGCATTCACTATACACCCCGAAAATTATGAATTTGGTAGTGAAATGTTGATTTTGATTAGACAAAAATAAAAAGCCAGCTACTCTGCAGACGCACCCCACTCCAACAATCCGTTTGTTGCTGATGCTGCTGCGTTTTGTTATAAATCGTTAATGCCTCTCAAGTCACACTTTTGTGTGTGACATCGTCATGCACCTTTTTAAGTTTAAGAATGTCTCACAATTTCAGCTACAGTGTTTTAAAGTAACACGTAATTGTGCATGCTAAGCAGAGGAGAACAAAGCGCTTTCATCTACTAAGTAGCAGAACGCAGTAAAGACCATTACCAAACAGCCACAACAGTGCTGGTTTTTAGGCGCGGCCTCATATTTCTCACAGCATTGTTGTTATTATTTTCTCGTCATTTTGTTATTATATTATCTAGATGTATGCAGCCGTGGGGGTGAAAAGAGACTGCTTCATTGCGGGAAACAAAGCGCGGCGACTTCAAAGGCATTAGGACTTTGTCTGTGCGTGTGTGAGAAAGAGGGAGCGAGCGTGTTTGTGTGGTTGGGTGTTGGCTGGCCTGGCCCACTCTCTCCCGGCAGAATCCTCGGTACTCACTCACTTGGTACGTGTATAAGTGTGCAACATTTAATAAAAACAAATCTGGAGTCAACTAACACGTACAGTTTTGATAAAACTGCCCAAAGAAACAGAAATTTTGAAACAAAGGTAGTACGAGATTTCCTCTATAAATTAAAGGTGTATGCGACAGTCATCCTCACCACGAATGAGTATTACTCTCATAACGTTTCGTTTCGAGTCGTCGCGCGGCCGTTACTAGCCGCGCCGTTGAATGCGTGTTCTGTCGGGTAATAACGGTCATAATGATGAGGAAAGGGGAGAACGGTTGAGGAGGGAGGGAGGAGAGAGGGGAAGGACTAGGTCGGAACACCCTAGTCCTGAATCTGAGCTTTGCAAATCTAAAACAAGTCAGTTTCGGTCAGTATTAACAGCCAAAGTTTTGATATTCCAACAGCAAACAGTTTAGTTTTGCGGTTTAACTGCAACTGACTTATCAGTTTTACCTCAAGTTTTACAGTTTAATAAAAAAGTTTAAAAAATGTATTAAAACATCTGCAAGTTAAACTGTAAAAGTGACTAGGTTTTCAGAGTACAGAGGAAACTGTGAAACTCAAAAGTTTTGCAGTTGTACTTAATTCTAGGAGTTAAAACTGTTAAACTGTAAAAACTTCACACACCCCGACGCAAAATTTTCTGTATGCTATTAGGTTGTTTTTAGTTTGTCATGACGAACAGAAACGTACTAGTAGCGACCTTCTGCTAGCAGGTCGCTGTATGTTCGTCAAGGTGCGTCAAAAGTTCGCATATGTATCACTTTGCACCATCTGCCAAACTGAAAGCGAACATAGTTCGTTTTCCTGTGGAATTCTGCCAGTGCGCTGAGAGTTCGCTTGCAGTACGCCAAATGTTCGTTTTCAGTACGCTCTAGATGCACATTTGATGTAGGAATCTAGGGGGGGGGGGCAATATGCAGCCGGCGGTGCAGCTGGGGGTGCAGCCGTGGTGGGGCTCTGCGGTAGGGGGTGCGGGTAGGGCAGTACCCGGGGGTAGGAGATGTGCGGGGCGGGTAGGCAGCGGTATTCCGATAGCCAAAAAGGAAAATATTTTCTTTGTGGTTTGTATCGATCGTTACCTTTACCTGGCCCTCTCCCTCTTCCTTTACTTCACCGTAGTAATTTTATTTAACGACATTTAATTGGAAAGTACTTTACCTTTGCTGGGACTCGAACCTCGGTCATCCGAGTTAGGAA